TTTCAAAATGTAAAAAGAGGGCTCGTTCTTGGTACAATGGTTAAGATGCAGCTTGGGAAACCTGTATCCCATATTGGAGTACTACTGCTGGTCCAGTTTTCTGCTCAGGCCATCCTGGGAGGCAACATATGATGGCTCATAGCCTTGGGTCCCTGCCACCCACATGGGAGAACCAGATTGGGTTCTTGGCTTCTGATTTCAGCCTGGACCAGCCTGGACAGTTTGCGGGCATTTGGGAAATGAACCATCAAATGGAAAATCTATATCTCTTCCCGAATTCCAAGTAAATTGAAAATAAATAATCTTAAAAGTAAAAAGAAATGGATGCAGGGCTGGCACTGTGACTTATTAGGTAAAGCTGCCGCCTGCAGTGCTGGCATTATATGGGCACCAGTTCGAATCCTAACTGCTCCGCTTCTGATCCAGCTCTCTGCTATGGCCTGGGAAAGCAGTAGAAGATGGGCCAAGTCCTTGGGCCCCTGCACACGAGTGGGAGACCCAGAGGAATCTCCTGGCTCCTGGCTTCAAATCAGCTCAGCTCTGGCCATTGTGGTCATTTGGAGAGTGAACCAGCAAATGGAAGACCTCTCTCTGTCTCTCTGGCTCTACCTCTCTCTGTAACTCTGTCTTTCAAATAGATAAAATAAATCTTTAAAAAAAAATAAAAAAGAAATGGATAAAATAAACTGCCAGTTTTACTATCATGTAAATATAGTATCGGAATTTTCAGTCATTTTCTTGTAGTAAGTGTTGGAAATCTAGTATGCATTTTACACTTACACTGGCTCCTGTAGGTTTTTCCATCTCTGTAGACTCTGGACAAGTACAGTAGTAGCAGCTAGCACAGAGCTGACCTCCAAGAGGTCAGGGAGTAGAGACAGATGAATACAGATTGTACTGGAACTGAGAGCCTGTGACTGTAGAGGGTTCCTGATATTAGAACGTAGAGAGACATAACAGGTATTGAGTATAGCCCTTTGCTTATCTGTAAATCATGAATAGAATTCAAATGTTTTGTTAAAATCTTAGAAAGACTGTGGTACAACTCTGATAACCAGCAGTCAGGTTAACCTCTAAGCTGTACACTCATAGCCATACTTTCCGTAAGCTTGTATTTATTTATGCTGCCTTTTGCATCCTCATCAAGCTTCATACATACACTTCTGAGAGAGGTTGAGATTTATTTGTTTGTAAAAGAGGGAGTTCAGTCTTCCATCTGCTGGTTCACTTCCCAAATGGCCACAAAAGCCAGATTTGAGCCAACTCAAAGCCAGCAGTCAGGAACTCCGTGCGGGTCTCCCAGTCAGAACTCGAATGTGCAGTCCTGTGTGAGATACTGGCTTGACCTGCTGCACCACACCACCAGCCCCACTCTCTGTGTCATAATTATAGCAAACCAAGTAGAGACAGGCAGATTGAACAAGGATTTAGTGTTGAGACAGCAAAGAATTGTACTTGATTTTACTAGATATGGTAGTACCATGTGGCTATTTAAGAAAATTTCCATTTATTTTAGATATATGTAGGGGTTAAGTAACACAGTGCCTGGAATTTGCCTTGAAATAGTTAATTCAAAAAAGGGGACATAGATTGAAGTAAAGATGGCAAAATGTTATAAATTTTAACATCTGAGTGGCCGTTGTTTGAGACTTCACTTTACTGTTTGATCTACTTTTGTATTTAAAATGTTGATCATTGTCAGTCAAGATTTTTTGGTTTAGATGGTTTGGTGCATTCTGTTTACAGATAATTTCTGTGTATAGTTGAGATTACAAAAAAGAAGTTAAGAAATGATTTTATAAATATAAATAAAGTACAGCCAAATTTTCTCTGTTTAGGTGGATTAGTGATAGAGAAACAGTGCTTTGACCCCAAATGCACACACATTGTGGTGGGACACCCGCTGAGAAATGAAAAGTACTTAGCCTCAGTGGCAGCTGGGAAGTGGGTGCTTCATCGCTCCTACCTGGAAGCCTGCAGAACAGCTGGGCGCTTTGTGCAGGTATGTGTTCACAGTCGGTGAAGGGATGTTTTCTTTAAAATAAATGTCTTCAGTTATTCTCATACATGCACTGACCACTCATTTCATTCAGATATCCAAATAGGAATAATTAGATTAGACTAGTTTTATAAAGTTTCCAGTAACAATTGAAGCAAAGAAAGATCATATAGCCAAGTTCAGTTATATTCACTTTTTTTAAATATGTATTTTGCATCTTTTTTTTTAAAGATTTATTTATTTATTTGAAAGGTAGAGTTACAGAAAGAGGTAAAAATAGAGAAATCTTAGATTTGCTGGCTCACTCTCCAAATGGCCAGGGCTGGGCCAGGCCGAAGCCAGGAGCCAGGAGCTTCTCCTAGGTCTCCCACATGGGTGCAGGGTCTCAAGCACTTGGGCTGTCTTTTGCTGCTTTTCCAGTCTGCATTAGCAGGGAGCTGGATTGGAAGTGGATCAGCTAGGATTTGAACCTGTACCTGTATGGACAGCGCTGTAGCCTTACCCACCGTGCCACACTGCCAGCTACTTACATGTCATTTTTTTAAATTGAAATAACATTATCTTACCATTAGAGATTATCTTTTTTTTTTTTTTTTTTTGACAGAGTGGAGAGTGAGAGAGACAGAGAGAAAGGTCTTCCTTTGCTGTTGGTTCACCCCTCAATGGCCGCTGCGGCCAGCACACTGCACTGATCCAATGGCAGGAGCCAGGTGCTTCTCCTGGTCTCCCATGCGGGTGCAGGGCCTAAGCACTTGGGCCATCCTCTACTGCACTCCCTGGCTACAGCAGAGAGCTGGACAGGAAGAGGAACGACCGGGACAGGATCCGGCACCCTGACCGGGACTAGAACCCAGTGTGCCGGCACCGCAGGCGGAGGATTAGCCTAGTGAGCAGCGGCACAGGCCAAGATTATCTTCTTATAAGCTTTTATGCTATCTACTGGCCCTTTAAATATTAAGCTAATTAATTGAAATATTTTGTTTGCTAACTATAACAGTATCCATCATGTGATTTCTTTCCTTTTTTTAAAAGGTTTATTTATGTATTTATTAAGGAATACAAATTAACTATAACAGTATCCATCATGTGATTTCTTTCCTTTTTTTTAAAGGTTTATTTATGTATTTATTAAGGAATACAAATTTCATAAGTACAACTTTAGGCATACAGAGGTTCTTCCCACCATACCTGCCCTCCCACCCACACTCCCAGTCCCATTCTCCATTAAGATTCATTTTCAATTTACTTTGTACACAGAAGGCCAACTCTGTACAAAGAAGAGATTTCAACAATTTGCGCACGCGCACACACACACACACACACAATTGTTTGAGAACTAGTTTTACATTTAACCCTCATAATACAACTCATTGAGGACAGAGGTCTTTCATGGGGAGTTAGTGCACAGTGACTCTGTTGTTAATGTAACAATTAACACTCTTATGTGTGAGGTCAGTGACCACCTGAATCTCTTGACATGAGCTGCGTAAGCTGTGGAAGCCTTTTGAGTCCACAAACTCCATCATTATTTAGACAAGGCCAAAAGCAAAGTGGAAGTTCTCTCCTCCCTTTAAAGAAAAGTACATCCTTCTTTAATGGCCACTTCCTTCCGCTGTAGTCTCACTCACAGAGGTCCTTCATGTAGAACCTTTTTTGCCAGTGTCTTAGCTTTCCATGACTGAGATGCTCTCATGGGCTTTTCAGACAAACCAGAATGCCTTAAGGGCTGATTCTGAGGTCAGTGTTGTTCAGGGCTTTTGTCATTCCGTAAGTCTTCTGTGTGGACTACTTCCCATGTTGGAACATTCTCTCTTTTTTAATTCTATTATTATTACCAGACACTTAATCTTATTTATATGATCACTTTAACACTTAATCCTATTACATATGTTCATTTTAACACTTTATATGATCACTTTAACAATTAAAATGGCATTTTTACCACCCAGCACACAAGCCTCCTACAGTCACAAGCACCCAGTTCTCCCCACCAAAGTCAGGAGTCTCTACTTGGCTGGTTGCTGGGCATAGACATGAGCTGGCACAGCTGTTACATATGTCCAAAATGGTGCCCCCTCTATCGGATTGTTAAATAACTCTGTTGTAAGGTGATTGGGGAGAAACATGCCCTCCTTTTATTTCTCCTCTAGTTTGGCAGGTACACTTTTCCCTATGGGGCTCCAAGCCAGATTCCCTCTTGGCTCCTCCTGCAGCTTAATCGCCAGTGGCTTGGGCTGCTGCAGTCGGGTCTCACCTCACCCTCCAACACTTGTGCATAGGCTCTCAGCTGCTGGGGTCCTGGTCTGTGTGTGTCCACACCCTCCACATAGATCCACTGTGTCCCTCTAATTTGCGTAGAGTTTCCTCTGCCATTTTCTCCCTAACTCTTCCTTGAGATTGCACTCTCTCCACTTTTCTTGAACTGTCATCTAGACTAGAGCAGTAAGCTCCTTCCGTGCTCTGCCATCTTGGAAACTAACCTAAAGATTTTTTAAAATTTATTTGAGAGGTAGAGTTGCAGACAGAGGAAGAGACAGAGAGAAAGGTCTTCTATCTCCACCATGTGATTTTTGACATTTTCAATCAGGATTCCTTAGGAATATCTCCTTTGGACAGACAACCAGAGTGTCCTCTGACGTTGTGGTCTGTGAAGTTAGCAGCTGGCCAGTAAAGCCCAGTAATCCAAATATTACCAGCTGCCAAGGTGTAGTTACCAGATGTTACCTAGAAATATATGTAATATTCTTCTAATTTCTAATTAAAAGCCAGGTATATGTGATGAATATATGAAATCAAATTGATCTACATTGCCTCTGTGCTCATAAAATGATGCTTGCCTGATACTGTCTGTAGTCATATCAATTGAATGTATACTTTAACTCCTGTAGCCTGTTAGCTCCCTGAGGACAGAAACATGTATGCAACGCAGTGGCCCAACATACTGTAGGACCTCAAAAGCTTGTTCAATTAATTCTCTAGGAAGAAAACTATGAGTGGGGAAGTAGTTCCATACTTGATGTTCTGACTGGAATCACGGAGCAGCAACGAAGACTAGCACTTGCGGCCATGAGATGGAGAAAAAAAATCCAGCAGAGACAAGAATCAGGCATTGTTGAGGTATTCACATGCACAATTAGAGACCATTTAAGGAGCATTCAATACTGTGACTATTCCAGATATAGACATAGTTATATAGAGAGGTATATGTTTTTTAAAGAGAATGTGCTTGACCAAGGAAGAATAACTCTTGATTGATGTGTTTAATTAGGGCAGTCTACATTGAGCTTAATGTTATTTGAGAGGAAGTCACAGAGAAAGAAAAACAGAAAGATCTCCCATCTGCTGGTTCACTCCCCAAATGGCCACCATAGTCTTGGCTGGGCCAGGCTGAAGCCAGGAGCCAGAAACCTCATCCAGGTCTCCCACATGGTGCAAGGGCTCAAGCACTTGGGCCATCCTCTGATGTTTTCCCAGGCCCATTAGCAGGGAGCTGGATGAACATCTGGGGCAGGAACTGGCACCCACATGGGATGCTGGCACTGGAGGCGGACGCTTAACCTGCTGAGTCACAGCATGAGCCCCGTTGATGGCTTGTAAAAAATAGTTTATGTGTATAAAGTGTGGTTCTATACTGTGTTTATTTCAAAGTATCTTTATAGCACCTAGCTTTAGGGATTCTTAAGCTGGATCTGCTGACTCACCCATAAAGCACCTCCATTATAATGTCATAGATCTCTTTTTACTATTTTAATAACTTACAATAAAATGGTTTCCTTGGTAATCGTATATATGTGTGTATATATAATATATACCTATATTTGAGATTCATTTTTTGAAAGCAGAGTTACAGAGGGTGGTGGTTGGTAGGGGAGGCAGAGAAAGAACTTCCAACCACTGGTTTATTCTCTACGAAAGCCAGGGCTGGGCTAGGCCTAAAGCCAGGAGCCTGGACATCCAGATTTCCCACGGTGGTAGAGGCCCGCGTACTTGGCCATTTTTTGCTACTTTCCAGGCGCATTAGCAGGGAGCTGGATTGGAAGTGGAGCAACAGGAATTCAAACTGGGGTCGCTCAGCAGCAAACTGGGGATGCCAGCAACACAAGCAGGGCGTAACCCCCTGCACCACAGTGCTGGCCCTAATATTTTATTTTGACCACAAAGAAAAATAAAACATTACCCAAATTTTATGGACATTTATATCTCAGTAAAGCTGCTTCAGTTTTTCAGAAAGTGATTTAGAAGGGGTCCAGTTTTCACCCGATTGCCAAAGGGCTCCATTGCTTACAAAAAGGTTATAAACCCGTCTGTCAAATAATCTTACATGATGTTTGATATCTTTACATTTTCAAGAGAAATTTAACAAAAGCTTCCTGTAGCCTATCAAGCAGTGCCATGTACTCTACCTATCATTAGTTATAAAGAAAAAACTAGAAAAAGACTACATAAATAAAGCTGCTTTGTTTTACTATTACCTGATCATTAAATTGTTTTCTCTCATTTCTCATGAATTTGCAGATACCATGGCTGTGTATTTCAGACTATATTGACACATTTACACTGTGGCAAAAATAAAGGTCGTTGAGAATATAATCTCTGTGTCTTATTTAGACATAAAACTGGGTCTACAAGTAGGATCATGCATTATCTGATTTATCATTTATTTTCCAAGTGGTTTCAGCACTGATTCTTTTCTCGCAGGGAGCATTTAGCGGGTGGAAGGTTGTTTTACGTGTTGACCGTGCCCGAGAAGCGGGGTTCAGACGTCTTCTTCAGTCAGGAGGAGCAAAGGTTTGTGCTGAACCAGTTTACTGAGCGTTCACATAAATTATCTAAAACAGTTCTTTGTTTTCCTTACTTTAGAAGATGGTAATCCTTAGTATATTTTGTACAGTTGAACTGCTTTGTGACACCTGTAGATTGTAATACTTTTCGTGTTTTTTCCTTAGGTGCTACGTGGTCATTCTGTACCTTTATTTAAAGAGGCCACACATCTCTTTTATGACTTTAATTGCAAGCAGAAACCAGATGACACAGGACTTAATATAGCAGACGCTGCTGCCCAGAATGTGCACTGCTTGAAAACAGAATACATTGCTGATTACCTTGTGCAGGTTTGTGACTTCTTCACTACCAGGAGTATGCTGCTTTGTGCGATGTCAGACTGCCTGACTCGTTATTAATAGCATATCTGTCTCCTGGGGTGGGCGTTTGGCCAGCAGTTACACCGTGGCTTGGGCTCGTTGTGGCCCATATTCGGAGTAGCTGGGTTCTAGTCTTGGCTCCTCTGCTCCTGCTCCACCTTCCCACTGATGAAGGGATAGCAGGTGATAGCTCAGATACTCAGTTCCCTGACACTCACATGGGAGACCAAGATGGAGTTTCCACCTCCCAAATTTGGCCTGGTCCAGTCCAGTCCAATGTAGGCATTTGGGGATTAAGTCAGCAGATGGAACCTCTATTGTCTGTCTCTGTCTCTTAAAAGAAAAAAAGAAAAATTAGTCTATTCAGCACCCATTTTATGCTCTTGCTACTTTTGATGCAGTGAGTACAAATGTAAACATTTAGCATAGCAGTTAAGTATAGGGAAGGTATAAAAACCTACATATTTTTAAAAGCTTTTTTTTTTTTTTTTTTTTGCTTTTTAAAGATTTTATTTAATTTGAAAGGTAGAGTGACAGATCTTCCATCTGCTGTTTCGCTCCCCAGATGGCCACAATGGGAAGGGCGGGTCCAGGGCAAAGCCAGGAGCCCAGAACTCCATCCAGTTTCCCACATCTGTGCATGGGCCCAAGCACTGGGACCATCTTGTGCTTGTCAGGCCCACTAGCAGGAAGCTGGATTGGAAGTGGAGTAGCCAAGACTTGAATCAGTGCCCATATGGGGTGCCAGTGTTGCAGATGCTGGCTTAAACTGCTGTGCCACACGTCGGCCCCTCTCTAAAAGCTTTAACAGTGCCCTTTCTGGGTGCCCATTTGGCACAGCAGTTCAGTAGCCACTTAGAACACCTGCATCCCATATTAGGAGTCCCTAGATTTGAGTCCTATCTCCTTTTCTAATCCAGCTTATTGCTTATGCATACCATGGGAGGCAACATAAGTACCTGGATCCCAGCCCCTGTGTGGGAGACCTGGATTGGGTTCCAGGCCCCTAGCTGCTGCTGCTTTGCTTTTCTTTCTTTCTTTTTTTTTTTAAAGGATCTGTTTATTTATTTGAAAGGCAGAGTTGCAGAGAGAGAGAGAGAGAGAGAGAGATCTATCCACTGGTTCATTCCCCAAATGACCTCAATGGCTAGAGCCAGTCCAATCCAAAGCCAGGAGCTTCCTCTGGGTCTCCGCACAGGTGCAGGGGCCAAGTACTTGGGCCGTCTTCTGCTTTCCAGGCCATAGCAGAGAGAGCTGGATCGGAAGTGGAGCAGGTGGGTCTCAAGCCAGCACCTATATGGGATGCCAGCACTGTAGGTAGTGGCTTTACCCTCTATGCCACAATGCTGGCTCTTTATGGCCCTAGCTTCTGCCCAGCCCAACCCTGGCTGTTGGCATTTGGGGAGTGAATTAGTGGGTAGAAGATCAATCCGTTTTTTTGGCAGTGTCTCTGTCTTTCAAATAAATAAGCTAAAAAAAATTTTTTGAGCGCCTTTAAAATGTTGGAAAGCAGAAATGTATTTCAGTAGTCTGAGAAACATTAACTCAAGAGTCATCCTTTAGTTTTCTTGATCTTTTGCGTTGATACACAGTAAAGACCTGTGCTATACTTTTTGTGGTAAAGAAAATATTTCCTATATGGAGGGCTTATTATACTCATGATCAGACTTGGCCTGTGTCGTATAATTTGAATGGGTAAAGAAGAATCTTCCCGATAGCAAAGTTCCCTGAAAGACCATCAGAAATCAGCAGTGCATGACACACAGTTATCAGTGTTTTCCTATGAGGCTTTTTAAATAGAATAGTGTAGGGATAAGAGAAGCCAGAATTCAGCCATTACTTATGTTACTTACTTGAGCGGTTGTTTAGGGTTTCATGGAGTATCTGAAACATAAATGTGAAGAAGGCCTTCTCATAAAGCAGTACGCATACAGATAAAGAATTAATAAACCAGTCATAAAGCTCCTAACTAACTTGTAAAAAAGCTCAGTTTATTGAAATGTGATTTATTGAATTTATTGAAATGTGAAGTTCCCCCATTGGAGAGGGCAGAACAGGCGTTTGTTCTCATAGTTAAGTCACTGGTTGAGATGCCTGTATCCTGTAACAGAATGCTGGGGGTTTGATATCTGGCTCAAATTCTGATTCCATTTTCCTGTTAATATGCACCCCGGGAGGCACCAGATGATGGCTCAGTTAGTTAGGTTCCTGCCATCCATGTGGGAGACCTAGATGGCATTCCAGGCTTCCTGGCTTTGTCCTGCCCCAGCCCCAGCCATTGCAGGCATGTAGGGGGGTGAACCGATGGATGGGAACTCTATCTGTGTTACTTGCCTCTTAATAAATACAAATTTAAGGCCGGCGCCGCGGCTCAGTAGGCTAATCCTCCACCTTGCGGCGCCGGCACACTGGGTTCTAGTCCCGGTCGGGGCGCCGGATTCTGTCCCGGTTGCCCCTCTTCCAGGCCAGCTCTCTGCTGTGGCCAGGAAGTGCAGTGGAGGATGGCCCAAATGCTTGGGCCCTGCACCCCATGGGAGACCAGGAGAAGCACCTGGCTCCTGCCATCGGATCAGCGCGGGGCGCCAGCCACAGTGCGCCAGCCGCGGCGGCCATTGGAGGGTGAACCAACGGCAAAGGAAGACCTTTGTCTCTCTCTCACTGCCTGTCAAAAAAATAAATAAATAAAAATAAATAAATAAATAAATAAATAAAAATTTAAACCAAATTTACCTAACGGGGAAAAGATAAAAGTTAGGGGATATAAAGAACCCTCTGATATGCCATCCCCTCCAGGAATTCCTTATTACTCTAGGTCAGAACTAGTACATATTTTTAAAGATTTACTTATTTATTTGAGAGGCAGAGTGACACAGAGAAACAGAAAGATCTTCCACCTGCTGGTTCACTTGGCAGATGGCCACAATAGCCAGGGCTATAAAAGCATAGTTAATTTGTACATATCAGGGGCCGGCGCTGTGGCGCAGTGGGTTAACACCGTGGCCTTAAGCTCCAGCGTCCCATATGGGTACCAGTTCAAGACCTGGCTGCTCCACTTCCAATCCAGCTCTCTGCTGTGGCCTGGGAAAGCAGTAGAAGATGGCCCAAGTCCTTGGGTCCCTGCACCTGCGTGGGAGACCGGGAAGAAGCTCCTGGCTCCTGGCTTCGAATCGGCACAGCTCCGGCCGTTGTGGCCATTTGGGGAGTGAACCAGCAGATGGAAGACCTCTCTCTCTCTCTCTCTCTCTCCCTCTCTCCCTCTCCCCCATCTCCCCCATCTCCACGTATCTCCCTGTGGCGCTTTCTCCCTATCTCCTTCTCCATCTCCCTTTCCTTTTCCCCCCCCCCCGTGTAACTCTTTCAAATAAATAAATAAATCTTTTTTTTTTTTTTTTTTTTGACAGGCAGAGTGGCAGTGAGAGAGAGAGACAGAGAGAAAGGTCTTCCTTTGCCGTTGGTTCACCCTCCAATGGCCGCCGCGGCCAGCGCGCTGTGACCAGTGCATTGCGCTGATCTGAAGCCAGGAGCCAGGTGCTTCTCCTGGTCTTCCATGCAGGTGCAGGGCCCAAGCACTTGGGCCATCCTCCACTGCCTTCCCGGGCCACAGCAGAGAGCTGGCCTGGAAGAGGGGCAACCGGGACAGAATCCGGCCCCCCAGCAGGGACTAGAACCCAGTGTGCCGGCGCCACAGGTGGAGGATTAGCCTATTGAGCCTCGGCACCGGCCAAATAAATAAATCTTAAAAAAAAATTTGTACATATTAGTCTTATACCCTATTGCCTTGCTAAAATTCACTTAATACAATTAACTCTATAGATTTTGCAACATAAACAATCATTTTTAAAATAATTTTCAAAATTTTTTAAGATTTATTTTCATTTGAAAGGCAAAATTTACAAAGAGGGTTAAAGATAGAAAAATCTACCATCCACTGATTCGCTCTCCAAATGACCACAATGGCTACGTGTGGGCCAGGCTGAAGCCAGGAACCAGGAGCTTCTTCCAGGTCCCCCATATGGGTGGCAGAGGCCTAAAGACTTGGGTCATCTTCTGCTGCTTTCCCAGACACATTAGCAGGGAGCTGAGTCACAAGTGAAGTAGCCAGGACTTGAACTGGTGCCCATATGGGATGCTGGCATTGCAGGTGGTGGCTTAACCTGTTATGCCACAGCACTGGTCCCAGTTTACAAATTTTTAACAAATACATAGGAGCTGGCATTGTGCTTTAACAAGTGAAGCCTCTATCTGCTGCACCAGCATCCCGTTTAGGCAAGTCCCAGCTGCTCCACTTCTGATCCAGCTCCCTGCTAATGTGCCTGGGAAAGCAGTGGAAGGTGGCCCAAGTCCTTAGACCCCTACACCCATGTGGGAGATCTGGAAAAAACTTGGGAAGTGAACCAACAGACAGAAGATCTCTCTCTCTCTCTCTCTCT